GCCTGACGCAGGAGCAAAAGCGAAACCTCTCTGAAATCGCGAAGGTGATTGCGCAGGTGGCATCAGGGAGACTTTTCGGCGCCGAGAATGTTTATCTTCAGCCTTTGAATAGCTACATTGGTGATTCGATCCAACGTCTTGGCCACATTTGGGGCGGCAGTAAGTAATCGATCCCTCTAGTTCGATGTCCTAGAAGCTAACTATTACGTAGTGATCTCAGTACAAGACGCCGAAGCTTATTTTGATATTGATGAATTCAATGATCTCTACGCTAAAACGAAACCGACATTATACATCAAGTTATCCGATATCTTCTCTATTCATCAACTTGTGGCATCGGAAATACACTATATTTGCCCGAACCCCGATGACATTCTAAAGGAGGTCATCCGCGATCTTGGAAACGTTAAATCCAATGAAAATGAATTGATGAGTGTCAACACCTCAGAGATCAGCCTCACTCTGAACCCCAAGCTTGCACAGGTTGAAGGTAGGAAGCCGCCTCCGCCAATTGTCCCAAGGCTAGCTAGTACTAATGAGATGAATGTAGATCCGGAGGCTGATGTGAAAGCGTTATTTATGGAAACAAAACGATGCATCCTCTATATCATACGGGTTCAGTCAGGCGCTAACTTGATGGAAATTATGGTCAAGCCCCCGACTGAGGAAGACGAAGGAAAGTGGATGACATTGGTCCGGGAAGAACTGGGTGCGAACAACACCAGAAGAAGCGCTTACTCTGAGGCACATACGATGGTGGATATTGCGTCCATGAATTATTCGGAGTTGAAGCGGACTGCGCTCGAAAACATCCTTCAGCTTGAACAAACCGGGAAGATCCGTCGAGACAACCACTATCAGGATTTGTTAAATGCCATTGCCATCGATATTCGAACCAAGCATCGCCGCAGAATTCAGCGAGAGAGAGAACTGGAAAGTGCTCGTTCAACACTGGCCCGCCTCAATGATCAAGCCGCCTGGTTAGAGCAACAGTTCAAGACATATAATGACTACATTGAGCAGGCAATGGTGACATTGCAGAATAAAAAGGGGAAGAAAAGATTCCTCTTGCCATTTACGAAGCAGTGGGATCACCAACGCGAGCTCCAGAAATCAGGAAAGGTGTTCAAGTTTGGTTCCTACAAGTACTCGGCTCGTAACTTGGCAGACAAAGGTGTTTTAGTTCACTGGAAGGGCTATACAGAACGTCAGTGGGACCGAGTCGACCTGACAATTTCCAGCAACGAAGTTGGGGTGTTCACTCTTGATGGCAGTAGCGGCCCAATGATGGTCCCTGGAGCGAATGCGCAGGTGCCACTGGATGACTTGCTGCAAGCCCAGTTCAACAATATGCAGTTCCTCGACTTCTTTGACGGGCAGCTACGAGTCAATGTCAACCTTTTCCTGCATTTGATCATGAGGAAGTTCTATAACGAATGATCCCCATGTAGGGTGATGCATTCATTTTTGGTTTCTATTCCATTGTCCACTTTCTTTTTCCTTTTTCCTACTCTTCTGGTTTCACCTATGATATCCCCTTTCCTATTGATGAAATGTCACGCATGAAAAGGAAACGGCACATTCGGCATGACGTATATAGAAAGCACAACATGCAGGATCCAAGCCAATTCTCACTGTGTTATGTTCCTTCGATGATAACCCGTTGTTTTGTTGTCGTTATGCACTGACTTTCTTGAGATGATTACCCTCTACATTTCTACACGTTACCCCTGTTATGATGATTATGCAGACGATTTTATGTATGTATTTGAGTAGTGTTTAGTACATGACGATATGTGTGTTTCGATAGCAATACTATCACCAGTAGATACTTAGTATCTAAGAGGCGCCCGTCCGTTAATCAAGCTGTAACAAATCCTATGATGTCGACGTCTTGCTTTGTCCTGGAGCTCAGGGGCTGCCACGTGACCCGGCGGTTGGCTTGGAGCCCAACGGCGTTGCCAGGTGGATTGATTCCTCGACTCCCGCATCATCCAACCCTCTACGAATTCCCGACTTTTGTCTCTCTCTATATTGTTGATCCGATAAATAGTGCGCAAGATTGCACTAGTGCTGATTGCGTTATGGATCTCTCCAATCTCAAGGAGCAAGTCAGCAACCTGACCTTGTATGACCTCAAGGCGGGAGTCCGCAAGGTCCAGAATGGTATGTCCCGCATCATGCCCCCGATTAAATTGATATACGTGCCTCCCACCGCGCGAATATGGCACTGCAGTAAATATACTGACAGTCATAGCTGTCATGAATTATACCGAGATGGAGGCCAAGGTATGTGCCACCATTCCCAAATTCCGTCCTCTGCCGATCTCTATAGAACTATACATACATGCATACGGAATGGCTTTCAACTACAGTCGCTTATGCTCAGTAGGTCCGAGAAGCCACAAACAATGAGCCTTGGGGTGCCTCAACCACATTGATGCAAGAAATTGCCAACGGAACTCACAGCTAGTCAGTCATTAACTTGTTCGTTCATACAATTACCCGGTTGCTAACCAATATACTGGGGAGTGCAGCCAGCTACTCAATGAAATCATGCCGATGATCTACAGACGCTTTACAGACAAGACTGCAGAGGAGTGGCGACAGATCTATAAGGTAGGACTTGCCGGACCAGTTGGTTGTCTACAGGAGGTATCTAATCTGGCAATCCTTGAACCTGCAGGCACTTCAGCTTTTGGAGTTCTTAGTCAAGAACGGATCGGAACGAGTTGTTGACGATGCGCGATCTCACATGTCCCTTCTACGAATGCTTCGCCAATTCCACTTCATCGATCAGAATGGGAAAGATCAAGGTATTAATGTGCGCAACCGATCGTCAGAGTTGGTGAAACTTCTTGGCGATGTGGATCAGATTCGTGCAGAAAGAAAGAAGGCCAAAACTAATCGCAATAAGTTTGGTGGCTTTGAGGGTGGATCCCATATGGGAGGAGGAATGTCAAACTCCAGGTACGGGGGCTTTGGAAGTGACAGCATGTCGTTTGGCGGGTACAGCGGGGGTGTCTACGGTGATGGAGGTGGGTTCGGTGGCAACACAAGCGACTTCCAGGACACCGGGCGACGAGGCAACCGATTTGAAGAATACGATGAATATGACGAAGCAGATGCCAGCCCGCCGCCACGACGTGCAGCAAGCCCGCCCCGTGCCCGATCGACAAAGCAGCCGGAGCCGCCGAAACCCAAGGCACCCGAGCCGGACCTTTTTGACTTTGGAGAGGAAGAGGTGGCCCCAACGGCTTCAACCAGTGCCGGCAAGAAGCCTGCAGGCAGTAACGGCCTAGATGTACTCGATTCCAAACCCATGGACGACGACGACTTCGATGATTTCCAGTCTGCGACTCCCGCTCCCGCTCCAGCGGCATCGAACCAATTCTCTATTCTTCCACCAGCGAACACTGTGAGCACTACCTCAAGCACCCAGTTTGCTGCGCCGAAGCCGGTGTCCGCTACGCAAGGAACCAATTTGAACGGTCTTGTTGGGTTTACATCGATGACCCCGACTCCAACTTCGAGTACAATGGCATCCCCAACACTGTCGCAGAGCTCTATGGTGCAGCCACAGCAACAGAAGCCGGCACAACCGAAGCCAACAGGATTCCAGGCCGCAACACCGAACTACTTCACCTCTGTTTCCGTCATGCAGCCTCAGGCGGGAGTGTCTAACCACCGGCCAGGCATGGCATCAACCTCATCTTTTACATCTGCCACGTCGGGCGCGCCTGCAGCAGCTAAACCTGCTGCATCCAAGTCCTCGAATGGCGACGCTTTCGGATCTCTATGGTCAACCGCCAGTGCCGGTGCTGGGCTGCAGAAGTCGAATGCAAATGCAAGCAAAGGGCCTAACTTGGCAAGCATGGCCAAGGAGAAGGCGAGTGCGGGCATCTGGGGGGCGCCCGCAGCGTCCAGCTTTGCATCGCTGTCTGCTTCTCAACCCTCTCAGCAAGGGACCAAGACCAGCAGCTCCGGGCTGGATGACTTACTGGGCTAATCTGTCTGTGCGCTTATACTGTTTTTTCAAGTTAAATTTCTTTTGTTCTGAGCAATATCTGCAATATTATTGCGATTTCACGGTTCTTCATTCCCATTTTAAGCAACGAATCATTGGTAGCAGACGATGCCAGACCATTCCTCCTCGATCTCATGTTTCAAGTTCTGTACATCCGGATGGTCACGATTGCTCTTTTATTCTTTGCATGGTGTCGAGGCTTGGGAAAATATTGATCTTTTTGTTATCAGGACCCTGTCAGACCAAAGGTTATTACTAAAAGAAACTTCCTACACGACGAAGTAATGTTTCCCGGCTGTTAGATGGCGTTCTATCTCAGCCCAACGACGGCCTCTTTCCAGCAAGGCCACTTGAATAAAATGCGCTGGATGAGGCAAAAGGGGAAGGAAGGAAAGTTTAACAGAGTAAAGCCTTTTCGTAAAAATGCAAAATTCCATCAATCCCTCGGAAAATACTCCCTGTCCTTAATTTTCAGCCAAGGGATGATCATAATGACAGTCAAGACTCAACCCGCCCCGACAATCCTCGTATTCATCCTGCCCGCCCTCGATGATCAGCACGCGCTAAGACACCAACGACCAGCCAGCACAGTGGAGAATGCGATTGGGATCTCTGTCGATCCGTGCTTTGGGTATTGCAATCATGGAGACCATCCCAGGGTCTAGCCAATTATTGGGGTGGCCGAGACCACTAACCCTAAGGCTAAGATTTCCTTGGGGTCGTATCTTGCGAGTCATATTCACTTGGTTCTTGAAGGGTTTAGGCTGAGGCTACAATTGTCTGGTAGTCTACCGGGTTTTTACGAGAAGGTTAAAGTGTGTGTGGGTGTGTTTGGGTTGCAGCCTCTCTCGTGTCATGTCAACTACCCATCCGTATATGAAGAACTCTATCGGCGCCTGTTAAGGGGCTTTTCTTCGAGTCCTTCTCTCCTCCTTTCATCTTCACATCGATACAAAACTTGTCTCGATATAGTTCGAATCCCCATAATATGTACATCGATACCCTTTTCCCAGACGGGCTCTATCACCCTCTTCTCCCCCGGGCAACCTACGCTTCCTGCTGGGGAGGCATAGGACAAGGAGAATGTCGCGGCCAATCTGACTGTATTGCCTCCCTCCCTCCCCCTTTAAACTCTAGATATTCCTGCGGAGTGTGTCAGAAGCTAAATCTACCTCAGGCAAAGGACTCGTCTACACAAGTCAATGCTCCGATAACAAAGGCGACGATGTATTGCCCTCCATCAAATTCCACCCCCACAGAGAGGAAGCATCCAACATACTAACAGAAAAGACAACTTAGTGCTGTCTCCAACGTCGCTGCACAGTCCCCGAAGGGACAGGTTACTGTCGAGACACCAATAACCAGACCTGTGATGGGGGCAACTACTTCTCCGGATCGGCTGTACATCTCCCTCTTTTCTCCCTACATGCCATTCCTCCGTCTATCCCCTTAGCAGACGATACTAACAATGACGACAGCCCAACTGGCCATGTCCGGGGATAAGCTCCATCCAATGCTGCGTGACATACGAGAACATGTCAAACGGGACCTCCACGGTTTCCTCTACCTCCTCCACCACATCTCCAACTTCGACATCAAACTCCACTTCCACTTCCACAACACCGTCTGTCTCGTCGCCGACCACCTCAGCCGCAGCGCCAGCTGCAGAGTCAAAACAAGGACTCTCGGGATCTCAGATAGGGGGGATAGTCGGTGGTGTTGTTGGCGCGGCGTTCCTGCTCGGGGTTATCGCGCTGTTTCTTTTCTTTCGTCGGCGGACGGGCAAGAGAGATCTTGCACAGGAGGGTCCGGATGCTCAGGGACCTGCTTCGGAGGCGGGTAAGCCGGTGGAGGAGGAGGTGGTGGGGAAGGACCTGCCGATGCTTGAGGGGACTATGAGGCAGGAGATGGATGCGCAGGGCGGGGCGGCGTTGCATGAGATGGAGGGGGCCAGTGGACGGGGGGTAGTTGGGGTCGGTGGTGAGAAGGGGGCTGGTCTGTCGGAATTGGAGGGACAGAGGACGGTTGTTGCTGAGTTGGATGGAGCGTCTGTTGTTCGGGGTTCTGGTGGGTGAATTGAGATGGTTTTTTGGAGGCGAGGTGGAGTGCGTTTGACGTGTGTATATATCCCTCTTCTTTCTCTCTCTTCTTCTTCTTCTTCTTCTTCTTCTTTCTTTTCTTTTCTGTATCTATAGCATCTTATTAATGGAAGAGGCCGGGGGGCTTGCTTAATGACATATGTGGGTGTGTACGAGTGTATACTGGGGTGGTTCATGCTGGGTAGGAGAATATTCTGGCCGCTAATATTCTCTCTCCGTTTGAAGAAGGGTTCAAAACAGGTCAGGATACGGAACGTTATATATGAAGCTCTAACATACAGTGCCAATTCATTCATTCAAGTAGCCTCCTTCAATCGTTGGGATCTGTTCAGTTGAGACGGAGGAACATACAAGAATAAAAGTAGAGATCGGTAACAATATGAAGCATCATTAGTTCTTCCACATATACTATACTGGGTTCTCATTCCCATCCTGAAACATAATCAGACAATGTGTCAAATCTAATGCATTATGCGACGCCGACGCTGAAAAATACAAAGCATAAACATATTTACAAACCACAGAAACCTAGAGTCTGATGTGATGCTACGTTGCCGGCACGCGACGCCAGCAATGTCTTCTCGCAAGACAGCGATCAGAACATGCATGCACACTCCACCCCTACCATATAACTGGCTCAGCGGGTCGTTCCGCTGTTATCATGTAGAATTGAAAGTTCCAGCCTGGGAACCGAGAAAGCAAAGAAATCGATGGGTTTTCGTGCCGTAGCTCAACCGTTTTGAAACACTCAAGCAAGCACAGAAGGGATTCGCCCGGAAAAGATCCAGAAGATCCAGGGGATGATGGGGCGATGGCTTGACTCTACCACTCCGCATGACAGGTCTTATTATGAGTTCCAGCGTATCCCCACAGAAATGGACACATCACGTCTTCATCGGAACGGCGACATGCTGTCCATCCTGCTGTGTTTTCTCCATAGTTTGCTTCACCGTATCAACCCCTTGTTCGTTGTCCTCCTTCTTCTCGCCATTAGCAACATAGCTCGGGTGGTCGTCCCGAGTTGGTGCCATCTCCTGGTGGCATTCGGTCGAATCGCGGGTAGGGTGAGTGTCATCCAATAATTCAGAGTCCGGATCACCGTTCAACGATGTCAGTCCCCCTTCAATGTCCCGGAGCAGCCGAACGAACTCTTCCGGTACCAATCCACTTTCCCCGGTCCGCGGGTCTTCCGCAACGAGCCAACCTTGGCCATGCCTATAAGAAACGAAGATTACCTGGCCCTCTGTCAGGGGAAGTTCGTTTTCGTGTTCCCTAGTGAAGTCGAAAAGTGCAACCGCCTTTCCGTGCATTTCTTCATCCGGACATCCTACGGCAAACTGGAAGTCGCCATTGTACCGATCACCAGCATACCCATCCTCCGATTCGTATTCCACGTCAGGGGCATAGCTTGCATAGTTCCCATATGTCCCCGCATATGAGTATCGGCTCTCATTTACCGGGTATGTGACATACTCGCCGCCAGGGCCGTCGTCTATTTCATCCTCGTCATTCACATAGTATGTCTCGCTACCGTCCGCGTTTGTACTGACATACATCCCGCGATCAGTATCTCCCAAATAACATGTGGCCTCTTGGCGATTCGGGCTCCTCTTTCGCCCACCATTCAGATCCGTGCCCGTGGACTTGTTCTTCCGGTGGCGAGGTGCAGAAAACACCGGACTATGGAGATCTTCATCCTCGCTATATGGCGGGCCGTCACCGAACGACATCGCAGGAAGTTGTTGGTGCCCGTAGCTGTGGTCGGTGCTCCATGGCCCAGTTGACCACTGTCCCCGCGAACTATCCCACGGAGCCGGAGGGTCGGACAGGCGTCGCTGCTCACTCACCGGGGTTGACACCCCGGACGCACGTGGTGGCAATGGACCGTAGTGTAGAGGATGGATTGATGGGTATGCGAAATCTCGCACTAGAGCATACGGCAAGCTGGAATGAAAGACGGGGAAAACATGCGAACCGGGACGCGACCGGTTTTGAGAGGCTAGGGAAACGTTGGAGAGCGTGGAAAGACGGTCTTTCGCATACGAAGATGAGCGTTGGCGAATGGGTCGCTTGACAGTGGCGTCCGTGACAATGGGAGGCAAGACCGCTAAGTTGGACGCAGAGTCATCCTGCTGCGACGGAGGTGGCAATGCCGTAGAAGTCATGGTTGTGGTCATGGATCTCGTCGGGAAAGAACCAGCGCTGAGAACAATTGTGTCAGAGATTCAAGATGGGGTAAGAGAATTCGGATGTGATCGCTAGGGCAAATTTCGAAACATTTACACCCTAGTTTGGCATTGCGATCGTCCACCCGCGACTCTACTATAACTCGGGACAGAAGAAGAATGCCTGTTGTCAACAAGCAGACGAAAGATTATCTTCACCAAATGAAGGGATGAGCCAGAGGAACGGCAACGAAGGGAGCATGCGACTCGGAGGGGCAATGGTGAACTCCTTGCGTGCAAGCACGATCCGGGCTGGTGTTGCTATACTGTGGAGGCTGTGCTGAAGAGGTCTATACCGGGACACCGAGACAAGAGTCACAGAAGTGATCGTGGGCACCAAGCGCGATGCGGGCTCAATGGGGTCTGTTGAAACACGCCTACAAGAACTGACAATCGGCGGCAGGTGAGAGCGCGGCTATTGATCATGAACCACCTCGGTATGGTTCGAAGGGTAACGTTCCGTTCGATGGTAAAATAGAAATTAAAGGAAACCTCCGAATCAGCGATAGGATTCGAGAGAGGGGGTCAGTAATATGGTGACCAATAACCAGTGGGTGCTGCAAAATATGCAGTTTCGAGCGTTTCGTCCCGCGCTTGCTGGTCGAGAGTAGAATGGGAATTCTAATTATAGCAGCAGAGCAAAGCGCCGCTGTCAGTGATGGCAACTATGGACGAAATATCTATGGCGCAAACTGAATAAGGGAGCGTTAACGAGGAAAATTAAAAGTGTGCAAAGGAGTATGTGCCTGGCAAGACCTGCAAAACAGGATAGGATAAGAAATTGGACGGTGGAGGGACCCAGCGTAGGAGAGGCTTGTCGGAGATTACTTACTCTTGAAGACTGGCCTTGAAGCGTTAAGGATCAACGAGGCGCAGTCGGCTGCGTTGTGGAGTTCTGCTGCCACTGGGAGATTAAAATTATTCGCTCACCAGGGCACCGGCAGACGCAGGGAAATAGCTGCAGGGCAAACAAGCAATCCGGCCGAGGATCTGAACAGCTCAACAGGACGTCTGGATCCCAATTGTAATCGCAATGCCCATGGGCAACAGCTTTGAGGCTTAGAGTTATTTTCTCTTCGATGCGGGCACGTGCACGTGACACCCGCTTAGCGTGTTTCAGAGTCAAGTGCCTTGAACCATACCTGATTGGCCCTGGAATGCCTCAGGTCCATACTATGGACATACAGGACATACATTCACCAGCCTCCTCGCTTCGATATTTGAGTGGCTATCACCACCTTACCTTTGAAGACAAGAGAAAGTAAGGGAACGGCTTTCATCTTTTCTTTTCTATGGCTGGGGAACCTTTTCCTTCTTTCTAAAGCCACGAGCAAGTTTCATTATCCAAAGCAGGTTTCATTTATATTGCAAACCATCCGATGAAAAGAACTATTGTATGTCAAAGACGAGAATAATTAAAACAGATACCATAGCATTCCAAAGTCTCTAATAGGTCAGGCCTGCCCGACCGGGTCTTGAACACAAAATACTTTGTCTATATTCTTTGTTTCACACCCATCGCTCGCCCAAAGGACCAAAATCAGCCAACCACCAGCAGAGGCTGAAATTCCAAACCAAGCCGCAAATATCCAAATGCAAGGGACATTTTCTGCATCCACCTTCACTAGGGGCTCGCACTAGCGGAACAGCCAGGAAAGACGGTCTTCATCATTGTCACGAAGGATGTTACTGTTGCTACTCTCTGTGGCGCCATTGGGTCTTGGGCAAGCGACGTAGGAGTCGCTGCACGGTAGGTGAAGACGAAGAGGTGCTAGGTCTGATGGCTGCTCGCGAAGAGCTGGACGCTGCGGGCCCATGACCGCTGAGTGCCGTTGGGGCTCCAACTATTGCTGAGCTTTGCGCAGAGCCAGAAGAAGCGCCAGCACCAAAGATGTCCGCAAGCTGGGCTGGGATGGCAGCGTTATTCAAGGATTGATCATTGACATAACTTGCCGCCACATGCGACTGAGCCCCTGCATTAGCTACCACATCAACATCAATGCAGGATGTATATATTTCCTGCTTTCCTTTGGGCAAGTTCGGGTCTACGTCAGGATGTGTTGGCCAGTCCCACACCCAATAAAGAGTGTATGGCTTCCCGGATGGTGCATTGGATGGCAACGCAATGTCTGACTGACACCATAAATTGACACCCATTAACTGATCTGCGGTATGAGGGAATTTCGATTGGCGTTGCTTTGAAATACTGTCGTCGTTGACCTGATAGCAGCGGCCGTCGTCGAAGTTTCGTGTTGCCAGGAGCACGCCACGTTTGTCGCCTCCGGTACCCTCTTTATTCCATACCTTGTGCACGTCCATGATCTTCTCATCTTCTTTTGGTTTTGTTGTTCCGTATACGTATACTGTCCCACGATTCTCAGGCTTTCCCGGCTGATTCCCGGGTTGTGTGACATGGCCGTTTTCCTGGTACCGGAGAGCAATGGCAGCGCCAGCGCTTGCCTGCAGCCTTGGACTCCCTTCAGACTGTACTTGCTGCTGTTGGGTATTCTTACACAGCAAATCAGTTGGAAGTAGCTCATTGCGACCCTCTGGGACCAAATATTGCATCTTAGTGTCGCTGTATCCAGGGTCAGAGCGAAGTACGTTCCTTCTTGAATACCCCGGAGAGCCGACAAAGGTGCCATTCGGTGCGATAACCATGAGCTGCTCAACCCATGAATGGGCGACGACCGTTGAGGTCAGGAAGAGGAGAGAAAGCAGCCCCAGGCTGCTTCTCCAGGTACTGAGCCTGAAGTCCATGCTTTGGATGCTCCCTTGCAGTTGTTGGCCTAGTCTTCAGAAAAAGAATGCAACAAATACCGGCCAGCGGAGTATATGAATTTCAAAACCAGTCTAGGCCATGAATTAGCGGGGATATATTAAGCGACTAGGGAGTACCAACACGGGTTAAATACTCATAATGTCGTAAGACTTTCTTTATTTCCTGAAGATTCCTTTGTTTTCCTCGGATACAAATGGATTATCTTGAAGAGAAAAAGCAATCAATTTCCTGGATATGCCTTCGAAGGGGGACAATGCCGAGGATTCAACAATGGACATGGGAAATCGGGTATTCACCGAAGGGCATCGACAATAAATACACAGAAATGAAAGTGTTCTTTAAGGGACCCTCTTCTGACTTGCCAATGATAATCCTCAAATAAGTCTCCATCAATCAATAACAATGGAATATAGGGACCCTTGCGGCGTGCCCACAAGGAGGCACTCGAAACAGAGCGGACAAGGGGAGTCTATAGAAGTATCAATAGTAACATCAGGTACGCGGCGCCAAATAATTAGAAACTTGAGGGAAAGCGTGATGCAGATGACCACAGCCAATGAATAGGTCCTTCGACGTCATCGTTCAGGCACAATCTGCTTCTTGATGTGTTACGAGAGTATGCAAATCAGGCACCCCTCGTCCATTAATCTATCCCATTCAGAGATCCATCAAATTGGATCAACACGATAGGGTATCCTGGAACCACGAGAGCCCTTAGGCCCGTTCCATCTGCACAACATTCCTCCAAATAGTAGCGGCGCTTACCTGCATCGGTTGAGGCTCCCATGGTCTCATGAGCCTGGGCATGATAGCATGGCAATCCCAGTGTTGCAGAAAGACAAACACTGGGAACATGCGACATCACTCATTGGTTGTGGTTATTTACCATGGCGCTAAGATCGAGGTCCTTCACAGAGATCTAGGTATTAACGCTTCAAGGTTGCACAGGCCGTCCGTTGCCAAATCTGAAACAGAATCAGACACCTGTAGACTATATCGAGACCCAGGGAAAACTTAGGGTATTACCGCAGACATTGGGCGTCCAAGCGCCGAGACATATTGGCAAGACATCTCTTCAGCCCCACTTTGGAGGGAACGGCGCGAATGGAAACGGCGCAACCTGCCTGGCAGCCACGACAGGTACTTCTTCAGAAGCTGGCTTAGAGTTAAAAAAAATAAATGCAATCTAATGCTCTGTCGATCAATACTAGTAATAGCAGCAGGAATATAAGTAATCCTTTCGAAGCCGTGTGTAGGTGTACGTCAATCTTCAACTGTATTGGTTTTGGGGAAGTTGCCGCCTGTCTACTTTGTATGAAGTAACAAAATGACAGCTTGTCCTAGAGTATGAGGAAGACCTGCACGCATATCCATAGTGTCTGCTTAAGCCCGATCCGGCATCGGTGCTAGAAGTCCTCGTTCGGTCTCGCATTCCTTTCCAAGGTGCTTGGCGCGGACAGAAATCTCCACAAAAAAATGGGTATTCATTGTTGTGGTGGTCTTGGACTCGCTTGTTTCTCTGGATCAATTGGTCCCCAAGTCAGGCGTGTCTTTCGACCCATCGGTGTATCCAGATGGTTCCATTGTCTATGACCAACTTCTATTGTTCATCCCGCGGCACAATCGTAGGAAATGACACTGCACAATGACTGATGGATTTGTGCCAACCGATGTTGGTTTGGATGCACCTCCAGTCCAATTGAAAAGGTCAGCCATCCTTTACGCTTATTTGTCTCGTATCTGGATCAGCTGGCTCTGTTGCTTTTCTGCCAACCGCCGGTTAGGGCCTCCAGTTTTTATTTGTGTTTCCTTCCTTGACCCGAGTCCTTCCTTGTGGTGCAATACCCGATTATACCACGAACTTATATTTAAAACGGAAGAAATACCTCTTCGATGGGGTCGTCAGTTTCCATCTGGACCATATAGGAGGGATGATTGGAGGGAGATGAAGAGATTGATTAGATGAGAATGTGGGTATCGCGTTATCTCCGACGGATCAAGACTCCTCAAGTGGATTGCGAAGGACGGAGTAATTTATTGTTGTACGTATGTACACAAATCAAACCCTTGGCTGTGTGTCCACTTGGATTAAACCGTCCCACGGGAACCCGACATGCAGAGGACTGGGAGACAATCCTGAGGGCCGTTTAGCGGTGACTTCGCTGGGATACCATGGCAAAAGGGCGGTGCAGTCTTTTCAGTTACATAAAAATTGACTCTCACAGGTAGGTTGACATCAGACCTGGTATTTTGCTTCTTCTTCTTCTTCTTCTTGTCTCTTTGGTCATGGGGGTTGTCGAATGTAGTTTTTTTGTTTTTTGTTTTACTTTTTCCTCAGAGAAAGAACGGCATAGAATAATCATACCCATGATGTCTGGATCGATAAACTTTGAACCCTATAAGGTACTTGGGTATATCATGGATCCAGAAGGTCAAACGCCTGTTTTCGGTTCAAAAAGCCGGCCCTAATTGGCTTTCTATCCAAAGGACGCCGGGATTTATGGTGGGACAAACGATTCATTGGCAATGCTAGCCATTGGGCCTGTATTTCCAGCTTATTGCGATCGAAACAGAATCCTGCTTTCTTGGGGAGACGGCACCGCGGAGTGGTATTGTTAGGTGCTATGCAATGAATCTGCGAGGGATAAGAACCTTGCTCTATAGTATAGTGGTCGATGCTCGGTGCACTTAATCTTTTGGGGAAAGAGGAGGTCAGAAAAAAAGGACAGGAAGAAGAGCTTCACCGAATGGACCCTCCAAAATTACTCTCTGACCTCAACATGACCCTCTCAGGGCTATAAAAGTCACTAGATCCGTTTAGTCTGGGTGGTATTCGGTGGGTTCCCGATAAGCCAGTGGTCAAGAAAAAACCACCCAAACTACCGTATTCTAGACTAAGAGGGAATTTCTCCAGTCAGCTCCCGTCTTACCTTTTGGGGGGAATTTCTTATATTGTCTCTCCGCCATTTCCTCACGCATCTTCTTCCTTCCTTCCTTTCTTTCTTTCGCTTCCTCTCTCTGATTGATTTTCTGTACCTTTCAGCCTACCTTCTTCAACAGGGGGAAAAGTTTTAAACCTTGTTACCTACCACTACCTACTCTGGTACTTCCGTGTATTGAGGGTAATATATCCGCCCGACTCCATCCTCATTGGCCACAGTACCTGTGGCTACGATTTTTCGGCGGCGAAAACCCCGGGTTTACTTAATTCCAGCACGCGTTTTGTGGCACAGCTGAAGCTCGTCCCAACTTTCAACCCTTCAGGGGCCAATTTTAGAAAGAATTCCCCAGTTGGGAAGAGGAATTGGTGTGGCCGCATCCGTTTATCTGAAAGTACATTCTACACTGAACAGGGCTCCCACTCTCTCAATTGTCAATTAGGTACGTTGGTGCCGTGATCCACCGGGCCCTTTCCCCTAAAAAGTTGTACGGAACAAATAACTGACCGCTGCCTATCCTTTTTTGCCCCTAGGGCCCCAACAATCCCGCTACCGACCCCCTTTCCTTCTTCTCCCTCCATGCGATTGTCTGACGGTTGTGGAGAAGTATTCACCATTGGGATAACCCGTCTATATTAGGCTTGAGTGAAGTCTGAGACAAGTCGGGCGGTCTATCCTGCGGAAACGTTCTTTTCCCTGGACCGTCGATTTCGCAGGACTTCTCTCAAGACGAGGCCCTCACCGCCCTCTCTCCTTTGTCGAAATTGTTGCCTTCGACCACCCCAAGATGGCGGCGACTTTGATCCCTCGAAAGTGGCGTGCAACTGACGCTGAGGGTGACGCCCAACCGAGCTGGTTAAAGCGCCAGGTCACCGGCGGCTTGCAATCCATATCCCGCCGGGCATGTGCTCATCCGATCCACACAATCGTCGTGGTTGCCTTGCTCGCTAGTACAACTTATGTCGGCTTGATCGAAGGGAGCATATTTGACAGTATTAGGAACCCCAAGAATGTCGCTGGTCAGGTCGATGTGGACACGCTCCTCCAGGGTGGCAGGAATCTTCGCCTGGGAGAAAGCACGTCCTGGAAATGGCAGGTCGAAGATGCCCTGAACCCCGTGGATGTCGAGGTAAGAACCCTTTTCCGCCGGCAACACATACGTTTGAATGCTCATTGTATCCTTGGACTAGGCTGCTCAGCATCTCGCATTGACCACCTTTGTCTTTCCGGATTCGACTAGGTCTGATGCTGCTGCTCCCATTGCCGATGAAGTTCCTGTTCCCGCCAACGCTTCTGCGCAACAAGTTCCTCATACTCCAAATCTGTTTTCCCCCTTTTCTCATGATTCGTCTCTCGCGTTTACTCTCCCGTATGCTCAGGTTTCTCAATTCCTGAAAGCGGTGCAGGAGATTCCCGACTCCTCGGCCGACGAGGATGTCGGTGAACAAAAGAAATGGATTATGCGGGCGGCCCGTGGACCTGCCACTGGTCCCAGGACAGTTAAACTCTGGCTCACGGATGCATGGAGCTCTTTCGTGGATCTGATCAAGGTACTACCCCCTGGCCCTCAATACTCGTGTTGTTACTTACATCCATCAGCATGCCGAAACGATTGATATTGTCATTATGACTCTAGGCTACCTGTCGATGCATCTAAGCTTCGTCTCCCTCTTCTTCTCCATGAGACGCTTGGGCTCGAAGTTCTGGCTTGCGGGCACGGTTCTTCTGACTGGAGCTTTCGCATTCCTGTTTGGCCTCCTTGTTACGACTAAACTCGGCGTTCCCATCAACGTGCTCCTCCTGTCGGAAGGGCTCCCGTTCCTCGTTGTCACTATTGGGTTCGAAAAGCCGATTATCCTTACTCGGGCTGTGCTCAATGCTTCAGCTGACAACAAGCGCCGCGGTGGTGCTGCTCCTTCCGGTCAAGCGAACCCGACAACTGCGAAATCTATTCAAGACTCAATCCAAACCGCAATCAGGGAACAAGGCTTTGAGATCGTCCGGGACTACTGTATTGAGATTGCTATCCTCGTTGCCGGCGCTGCTTCGGGGGTGCAAGGCGGTCTGAAACAGTTCTGTTTCCTGGCTGCTTGGATTTTGTTCTTCGACTGCCTTCTGCTCTTTACCTTCTACACGACTATTCTTTGCATCAAGCTTGAAATCACTCGTATTAAGCGTCACATTGCGCTCCGTAAAGCGTTGGAAGAGGATGGTATTACGCACCGTGTTGCCGAAAACGTGGCCTCGAGCAATGATTGGCCTCAGGCTGGCTCAGAAAACAGCGACACTAGCATCTTCGGAAGGAAAATCAAGTCAAGCAATGTGCGTCGCTTCAAGATTCTCATGGTTGGAGGCTTCGTTTTAATTAATGTGGTGAACCTGTCTGCCATTCCTTTCCGGAATTCCGCCCTGGGCCCTGTTCCGTTGCTCTCCCGGGTATCCAATGTGCTTGCGCCCACACCGATTGACCCTTTCAAGGTCGCTGAGAACGGTCTTGATTCAATCTATGTGACTGCGAAGAGCCAGATGACAGAAACTGTTGTGACTGTCATTCCACCCATCAAGTACAAGCTCGAGTATCCTTCAGTTCATTATGCTGCGCCGGGAGATAGCCAGTCCTTTGACATCGAATACACTGATCAATTCTTAGATGCTGTTGGGGGACGCGTGATTGAAAGTTTGCTGAAGAGCGTCGAGGACCCAGTCATCAGCAAATGGATCATCGCTGCGCTTACCCTGAGCATCGTCTTGAATGGTTACCTTTTCAACGCGGCACGTTGGAGTATCAAGGAACCCGAGAGTGCCCCTGCGCCGAAGGTTGTCGAACCGAAGGTTTACCCCAAGGTGGATCTGAATGCGGACGGCTCGAAAAGAAGTGCAGAGGAATGTGAAGTATTCCTGAAGGAAAAGCGGGCGCCCTATCTGTCGGACGAGGATCTGATTGAGCTTTGCTTGCGAGGCAAGATTCCAGGGTATGCTCTGGAGAAGACGATGGAAAGTGAGGACCTGATGAGCCGTGTTGATGCCTTCACGAGGGCAGTCAAGATCAGAAGAGCTGTGGTATCTAGGACCAAGGCCACATCTGCCGTCACAAGCTCTTTGGAGGCCTCGAAGCTCCCTTACAAGGACTACAACTATACGTTGGTTCACGGTGCATGCTGTGAGAATGTTATTGGATATTTGCCGCTGCCCCTTGGGGTTGCTGGACCTCTTACTATCGACGGCCAAAGCTACTTTATTCCCATGGCTACCACTGAGGGTGTGTTGGTAGCAAGTGCCAGCCGTGGCGCCAAGGCTATCAATGCAGGTGGTGGCGCAGTGACTGTCCTCACTGGTGATGGTATGACTCGTGGTCCCTGTGTTGGTTTCCCTACCCTGGCACGTGCCGCCGCCGCAAAAGTTTGGATTGACTCTGAGGAGGGTCAGAGCATCATGAAGGCTGCGTTCAACTCTACCAGCCGCTTTGCTCGTCTCCAGACTATGAAGACCGCTCTTGCTGGTACATACCTGTATATTCGTTTCAAGACCACGACCGGCGATGCTATGGGCATGAACATGATCTCTAAGGGCGTTGAGAAGGCGCTTCATGTGATGTCTACAGAATGTGGATTTGATGATATGGCCACTATCACTATTTCTGGTAATTTCTGTACAGACAAGAAGTCTGCTGCTCTTAACTGGATCGATGGGCGTGGCAAGTCAGTTGTAGCGGAGGCCATCATCCCTGGTGATGTTGTCAAGAGTGTGCTCAAGAGTAACGTTGACGCGCTAGTCGAATTGAACACCAGCAAAAACTTGATCGGAAGTGCAATGGCTGGAAGCTTGGGTGGCTTCAACGCACACGCATCAAACATTGTCACTGCCATTTTCTTGGCAACAGGTCAGGACCCTGCGCAGAATGTGGAAAGCAGTAGCTGCATCACTACTATGAGAAAGTAAGTTACAGGTTGTCAATGGTCACGATTCAGACTAGTATACTAACTGCCACGCTCTCAGTCTCAATGGCAACCTTCAGATTGCCGTGTCAATGCCCTCAATCGAGGTCGGAACCATTGGCGGAGGTACGATTCTTGAAGGACAGTCCGCTATGCTTGACCTACTTGGTGTACGCGGTTCCCACCCCACCAACCCTGGTGACAACGCCCGTCAACTCGCACGGATTGTTGCCGCCGCTACGCTTGCAGGCGAATTGAGTTTGTGCTCTGCACTTGCTGCCGGCCATCTTGTCCGTGCGCACATGGCGCACAACCGTAGTAACGCTCCTACACGGTCATCAACTCCCGTATCGGCGGCTGTTGGCGCTACTCGGGGATTGACTATGACGAGTTCGAAATGATAAGGGTGTAGGTGGCCATTTGCTCCCTTTGCTGCCCCATGACACACTACTGCCAATACCGCTGCTATGTAGCAGACACTCTTCCTGGCTCTCCCCCCGCATACCTTGTATATTCAATGATACCCTATGGTTCTTGGTTAAAGGCCCTTGTGTTTAGGGTCACGCATCTTTTGACTCCCTGGAGGCTATTGTATGCTTTTCGGTTTTTAACGTTACTTACCATGTGACGACCAACAAGTGGAGTATGGGATAATGCTCGTCGCCTTTCTCGGCGCGAAGGGGAAATGAACATGATAGAAAAAACGACTTCAATGCAATAACAAGAAAGAAAGAGAAAAAAAAAAAAAGATAAAGCGAAGGAGGAATAAGCCGACCAGGCATGTTAATTGGAAAGGCTAAAGAAATGATACTTGTCGGATGTATGTATATTGAAATAGAAAGAACATTGACCTCAAGGAATACAATTGTTAATAATGGGATCTTTCTTGATGCCTACTAGGGCCCGTAAATACCTACTCCGAATTGTACCCCGTACATACCCCTATTGTATCGTTTAGGCGTAGAGGGAGGACTAGTATGGGGCATACTACTACTAGTCGGGCGGAACTGAGTTTGGAGCCACGGTCTGGACCCCCGCCTCAGGCTCCAACTTTTTAACGAATGACCTGCCGAGCACAGTGTCCGAGTCCCAATCGTATCCAAAGTACTAGAAAACCATGCTGGATTTAAAGTGACCTCGGGAGGAATCAGATAGGCTATATCGAGTAATATTGGCGATCGGGGAATTTCTTTGTTATTTCGAGATCATCTGATTCCACGGAGTACGGCGGTGAATTCATTCGGGAAAAGTGATGCGTACAGGAGCACCGCCACAGCGGCACTAATTGATCTGTTCCTGCGGGTGGTGGAACTAAACTACGCCCGAGCTGATGTATGGATGTATGGATGTACATACTTGTACTGCACCGTACTGTACGTACGGATGTGGTTGATAATACAGTCTTATGTAAGGCTTATCTTGGAAGCAGGGATACGTATGCATACCTCGCATATGTGTTAAAGAATTCCTATCTACTAGGTAGTTCTAGGGGCCGCAGTACATTTACATAGGTACTCGAGATTCATCCCTTCTTTTGCATTCCCTTTTGTGGACATAGTAATCATCCTGCGACAACGATGGATATCAATACGTACAGTACATACCTAAGGCCTACCACCACAATACAGTAAGATAGCATACACACCGTGCCGCATCCCTGAACCTCATGCTCGGTCTGTACTTACTGTAAATTACTACGATCATATCCTTTTCAATGTTGTCTCGTTCTCTCCCTTCTTCCGCCCGTCCCCAGTCCCCATCGGTCCTCCACTCCTTTGGACTTCGGGACGTTGGACTTTGCTCCTGTGGCTGTTGACTTGGCTGCATTCGTGCCTTTAACCTTGTCCTTTTCTTTTCTTTTCTTTAAGTCTATTTTATTTGATATATTCTTTTGTTCTATCCAGCTGTGTGCGTCTGGGATTCTGTTATATGTCTGCTATTCTGCCATTAATTCCGTCTGTCTACGCACTGTCCTTAACTTTTTTGTTGCATTGTCCATTGATTTTCACATTATCCAACCATTCGCTGTTATTCTCCGGACAGTCGTAGAGTCCTCCCCGATACCGTCAGCCACATATTTAATTATCCTTTTTTTTTTTCGCCTTTCGACCCTGCCTATTGCCCTCTTGTGATCGCAACCCCTCGAGATCTCGAATGTATATTTGGAGGACCACTACACTGAGGAGGTGAAGGGTTGCCCCGAGCGAGCGGCTTTGGAGCGACGCGACTGCCGTCATTGTGACCCCCAATGAATGGTCATTCAGGGACTATGTCGCCTGTCTCAGTGGACGGTAGTGACTGGTCAGGGATCAATCAATACCAGAAGTCGGAAGGGCCATTCTCGCCAACTTTGTCGAGTCGCGGTAACCTAGCCACACCTCCGACCTCAGGTGCTGCTAATGGACCAAATGGCGCTGGGTTACCAAATGGTACCTTGTCAGAACGGATGAGCGACTCGGGAAACCCGCCGTCACCGACCTCTGTGGCGGCGCGGTCGAGTGATGGTACATTGTCGGATCAACGTAGTAAGCGATACCGCCAGATGGAAGAGATCTTAGGAAAGCATTATGTTGTCTTGAGGAGGTTTCTTAGCGCACCTTATCGAGAGGACCGGAATGGGAGGCCAAGCAAAGCTAGGGACAAGCTACTGAGATTATCGGCGACCCAGTTCCATGAATTGAGCACTGACGTGTACGACGAGCTACTTCGACGGCAACAGGCCATGCCTTCTCCTGGACGGCCTCCTCGTCCCGATATACCTCCCTTTTTACCGCCCCGACAAGATTTCCACGAAAAGCGCAACCAGGCTCGCCAGAAGTTAGCGTCGCTCCAACATGTCCGCTTTCGAGATCTGGCCACGGATGTCTACACTGAGTTGGAGCGACGGTTCCCCCAATTCCCGGAGAAAGAATCCCGCAGAGCGAGCCCAGCTCCTAGTCTTCGTGGACGCCCATCGAATGGTTATCCCCCACCGAATGGATATGGTCCCGGGGCATACCCTCCACCTCGCTCGCAATCTCGAGGCCCGCCGCGGAGGGGGTACCCATCAGGAGGTCCTCCCGGCAGCCCTATGAGTGGCGTGTTTCCTCCCCGGCAAGGATCTCTAGGCGGGCCGCCATCTATCAATGGTGACCACGGCCCCATGGCCAAGTCGTTCCAGAGCAACACGATTGTGCCCAATAAAAGCACTATGGTGGAGGATGACGATGACATGGCGGGTGTAGACGATGATTATGATGCACGAAGTGATGCTTTCGCCTTGGATGCGGTTCTGCAAAGCAGGAGAGGAACTACGACGACCCTAGGAGAGGGTGAACGAAAGCTGTTGGCGGACACACAGTCCCAGGTGTCAGTGCTCCAAGAGAAGGTGAACAAGCTCGAGGAGTTATTAAAATCAAAGGATGAGGAGCTTTCTAAGCATCATGGGGATCAGACAAAGGTGGATGAGCTGGAGGGTCTACTAAAGGCCAGAGATGAGGAGCTGTCCAAATACCAGGAAGGGCATGAGAGAGCCCAAGTTGGTGAGTCTGAACGTCAGGAATGGGAGGATCTTAAATTAGATCTGGAAAGCAAGATCTCCAAGGTGGAGGATCTTAATAGTTCATTGCAGACGGAGCTGGATAAAGTTCGGACGGAGCACGATGCTATGGAAAGAGAGCTGCGAAGCCAAGTTGATGGCGCATCCCAAGAGGGTGCTGGTGATGCTGAACTGCAAGCTCGATTTGCTGACCTTGAAGTCAAGCACAAAGGCTTGCAGGCCGAACTTCAGGAACAACAGCAAGTGACGGAGGAAGTCAGGCGAGAAGCGGCTGGCTTTCTCATGGAAATGAAGGCTTTATCAGAACAGAGCCACTCGAGATGGGAACACGAAGAGCGGCTGTCCAGTGAGGTTCACAGACTAGAAGAGGAGGTGAAGCAGTGGAAGAGCCGGTATGCCAAGGCGAAGACCCAGCTGCGACACCTGCGAGCTTCCTCAACGGGCATAGAACTCCATTCAGATGTCAACGCGATCGCGAAAGATAACGCATTTCTGCAAGAAAACGGCCTTGTTAAGGATGTTCATGTGACAAAATTCCAGATTTCCATCGATGAACTGCTTCGAATTGCACGATTCGACGATTACAATCTAGTAATGCAGCAAATCAAAGCAGTTGTCATCGCCGTCCGTCATGTTCTTCATGACGTCGAAGTGGCTTCCGATCGCGAAGATGGCTTGTCAGCTTCCCGCACAAAGGCTACTCGGAAAGTCTCTGCGACAGCGAATAATCTGATAACTGCATCTAAGAACTTTGCTAGCTCATGCGGTCTCTCGCCAGTCTCTCTTCTGGATGCCGCTGCATCGCATCTATCAACCGCTGTTGTCGATCTGATCCGCCTTGTCAAGATCCAACCTTCACCAGCAGGCGATCTTAATGAGGACGATGAGGAACAGCTGGCTCACATGAAATCCCCCGACTACTTTAGTGTTGCGCCGAGCCAGGGCAGGTTCAGTAACAATGGGTCTATCTACAGCGCTATGAGTCCTCCTTCTAATCACTCCCGTAACCCTACGGAGTCTCATGCTGCCAATGGAATGACGGCAGCGACAAAGGTCAGCTACCCCGGACCGTCTGGAGATCACGAGCTCCAGGAACTCAAGGTCAGTACACCTCCGGTTATTTTATTCACAGTGCAATGCCTAATATTGCTTGTAGCTTTACGTCGAAGACCAGACAGAAGGACTGGTTCAATCAATTCAAGCTCTTGTTGCCAGTATCCGTGCCGAGGATGGCCTGACTACTATACGCACCCACATTTCTGCTATCTCCTCCATTGTAACCAATGTCTCCTCATCCACGGAGCATTTCATCCATAAACCAGAAGCTAACCCGGCGCTTCGACAGCGCACTGGGCCAATCATCGAGAAACTAGACCAGCATAGGACCCGTTTGATGGGGACAGCAACCGAGGGCGAGGAAGCTACCAGCGCCGAACAGGTTCGGGACGCTACAAACAAACTCCCTCCTATAGCCTTTGAGATCGCAAGGGAGACGAAGGAGCTCGTTCAACGGCTAGATCCGGTGGACCAAGAGGAATCCGAGGATGACTTCCGCTAGTCGTGCACCCTTTTAGCTTGGTTTTGCCATGCTGTAGCACTTCCTTCCTGTTCAACCGTCTTCCTCTTATTGTTCTACTTGTTCCTTCTTCTTTTCCTTTTCATCCTTCTATCTATTTCTTCGCTTCATCCGCAGCAGCCCAATCAAGCTGCGTGCATTATCTTGAATTGACAGGCCGTCACAGCTGTTGATTTTGCGGTTTCTTTCTTGCAGTTATCATGCATGACCACGAGCAACCATGTGAAATGAGTGTTGAACTGGGTGGTATTTATGACTTTTTTCTCTTTCTCTTAATGCTATATGGAATTTTGTACTTTATTTTTATTTTACTTTAGTTTCACCTTCGTTCTACCCTTCTGTGTTCATTATGTACCACTGGCTCACTAAGGTTCTGTGCCATTATTATTATTATTATTATTATTATTATTCGATTAGCGCTTTGGCTTCCTCAACGTCTTCTGGTTTTCGCTATTTTATCCTTTTCTTCTTGTTTTCTCTTTTTACTCATTTGTTTCCAGATAGCATAAGTGTTGTCTGAGGGGTTTCGACTATAGCAATATCATAGCAAGCAAGTTTGTTCTACTCTCATTATTTTGTGGGATGTGTCATTGTAGCAGCCCACTGGGTGGGAATAGATCCATGCTTTTCAAGATATCCGTTAAGTGTGTGGGACTGAGAGTGTTACGTTCGAGTGACATACAGGTTGTACTGGACGGAGTAGCGGTATGTACTCCGGTATGTCGATCTATTCACGTGATCTCAACGGACGAGTAGCTATCCTAGCTTAGCTCTGCGACGTTTCTCCCGGGCCGAAGTTTTTTCCATTGGAGTCTTGGAAGTTCTCGAAGCCTGCGGTTGGGGATTATATAATCCAGAGCTTCCTGGAGCTTTCTTTGCCTGGACATTTTTCCTTTGACCACTCTGGTTCCATTGCTTTCCACGCAACCACGCATCAGCCTGCAACTCGTCCGGGTTAATTTATCGCAATTCGCCTTATATATCTAATCTGTAAGTAAACATGATTGCCTAAAGTGCCGGTGAGATAAATTGGGTCTGGTTGCTTCCATCCAATGTTGTTCCTTTCCAATTGCTTAGCCCAAAGTCCACCCCCGGGCTAAGGGAGAGGCCAACCAACCAGATGGCGGCCTGAGGCCACCACACCGGACTCAATTGCATGTTTGGCACGTGTCGGCTAACGGAGGGGTTGGTTTCTGGGCCCCGCAGAATTTCCTTGTCCGTGTTGTCCCGCTTGTGCCCCTCCAGCAACAATGTTCTCCCGAAGCCTGAGGTCAACAACAACCCCACTTTGCTCCTCGTCCTTCGCTTCTCGCCCTCTCTTCAATTGCAATCAATCTTCTTTCCTCTCTCTTCGTCAGTTTCACCAAACAACCGCAACTATGTCTGGAAACACCAAGGCCTTCTTTGATGTTCAGTACGCCCCTGTGGGCTCCAGCGCCAGTAAGTCTCTCCGCTCTCCTTCCTTCACTGCTGTTGTGATGTCTTGTGGGAGACTCGAAATTACCCCTCTCCCATCTGGCATCGTCAGCATTTGGGATACCTCAAACTCAGAAGAATGCGTTCTTTCACCCTCAATTCCTCTCTCCCATTCCCTCTAATATTCACCGCTTACTGACAATGACCATCGCTGTCTATAGCCAAGACTGGTCGCATCAACTTCAACCTCTTCGAGGGCGATGTCCCCAAGACCGCTAAAAACTTCCGTGAGCTTTGCAAGGCCCCGGAGGGTCAGGGTTACAAGGGCTCTGGTTTCCACCGTGTCATCCCCCAGTTCATGCTCCAGGGTGGTGACTTCACCCGTCACAACGTAAGTATACGCTCTTTTTGCGGCCTCGACTGTCCCAGTTTGGCATGGCTGCTAACCACAGTTAACACAGGGCACTGGTGGCCGTTCCATCTATGGTGAGAAGTTCCCCGATGAGAACTTCATCCACAAGCACAACAAGCCCGGTCTTCTTTCCATGGCCAACGCTGGCCCCAACACGTAAGTCATCTCTAACTCGTACCCACTAGCTTTAAGGTAGTCACTAAACCCCATATAGCAATGGCTCCCAGTTCTTCATCACTACCGTTGTCACCTCCTGGCTCGATGGCAAGCACGTCGTCTTCGGCGAGGTTGCCGATGAGGATTCCATGAAGGTTGTCAAAGAGATTGAGGCTCTTGGCAGCAACTCTGGTTCTGTCCGCTCTCCTGTCAAGATCGTTGAATGTGGTGAGCTGTAAATGCGCTAAGCGGAGGATGATATGAAAGCCAATTTGTGGAAGGGAAAATGCTGATCTCGAACGCCTGACCTGACGGGATGGATTGAAAACGGCCTGTGACTTTTTTGCACCTTCCGTTGAGCGAGCTTCGAGGTAACGGTGGCCTCCTGTTTTCCTTGCGTGGTGTAATCTAGAGTGTCTATTGACATATTACCAAACTCCATCACCTCCATTTCCTATTCTTTCCCCTCCACTCGAACTTCCAGAGCAACCAGTGGCGAGTATTGCTAGTATACAAGTATGTAAAAAAAAATCCGGTTGCCTGAACGTAGAGCCCAAGTGAGTAGAAGCGAAAGGGAACCCCGCTCGCCATGGGGGGTCATGACATAACATGACATAACATGTCCCTCGTAACCTTATTATCCCTTGTCTACTGCAGCCCTAAGTCACTCAACCGTTCTACATGTTGTTATGTAACCAGGATGTCTTGAATTCTTTCCAGGCTCTCATGAACATCCAGACTTAAGCATTAAACCCAACTTGGATATCGCCTAGTGTACTCCTACAGACTTATCCAAAGGAAGCGAAAGACAATTCCGACAAGTACAGCACTGAGAACGACTCACTCTATTTACATACATTGGGGCTCAGTAATTACTACATGGATCCAGCTCACCCAAGCTACATCAAAGCAAAGCAGGGGTCTTATGAAGAGCCGTAGACCCAATCGTGCCATTGACACCAAGACATACTTAATAGACATGTCAAAAAAGATAAGTCCGTTATTGGCATCGATATACATTGAATATGTTTGTTTGTTTGTAGGTAAATGGGTATCAGAAGGCAGAACGACATTCAACAGTCAGCTTTTCTTCGCACCACAACTAGATCATCCACAGCATTTCGTCACGGCGAGGGCATCATTCCTGTGAATATCATCAGCGTACATTCCACCAAGTCATATAAAGAGGAGAATGTGAAACGGGGGTAGTAAAGGACACAACGAAAGAAGGAAAAAAGAAAAGGACAACATACTCCTTCCCCAGCTGCAACGGTTCCCAAGTAAACAAAAACGATCCCAGGAACGCTCCAATAAAGATGCAAATGATAATGTACCCGTTGAAGTACATCGCCAGCAGCATGATGAAATACGCCACAGCAAACTGCAGCATGTGCATGAGGGCGCGCACCAGCTGTTCGATGAGGGTCGGTCGGACGGGGACCTCCGCGGCCGGACAATTGGGCGCCTTTACCGCGGAAGGCTGAGCGGATGAGGAGGCTTTTGTGGCCGTGGCGACATCTTCTGCGTCTGAGGCTGCGGCTGGGGTTGATGACTGAGATTGGACCGTGAGATACTGGGCTCTGAGACGGGCGCGACGGAGAATGAAGGCATCGTATTCGCGGCCGACGCGACGGAGGAACTCGAGACAGATCACTAGGAGAATGACGCCTATGCAGGAGCCGGCGAACATGCCATTGGAGGTGATGTGCCATTGTTTGGAGAGGAAGCCTGTTTGGTTTGGGTTAGTGGGTGTGGCTTTTTTTTTCTTTGGGTTGGATGGTTTTGTTGGGTGGTTAGGGCTTCTTTTTCTTCTTCGTGGAGGAGTCCTTACAGGCGTCTTTGACGGTCCAGTTCCATAACATCTGGGTTTCTTTGTTAGTTCTTCCTCTTGATGGGGTTGAGTGCAGGTTTACGTACTGAGATCTTGCAGCTGTTTGACCCGCCACCGTGCATGTCACCGTGCATGCCTCCCATGTCCATTGAGTGTGACGCGGTGCTCGAGCTCATGGCTCCTGTGGATGTTGCTGTGGCCATGGCCATGTCCATCATCATGTCTCCGTGGGCTACCATGTTGGTTTATACTATTCCAGGGCGTAGGATTTGAGAAGGAAAAGATTCCGGGACTGAAGAAATCAGTCACTTCGCGGGCAGTGTTTAGCAGCCAGGCACGGCAGCGCTGAACAAGCAAACTGGACTTGACTTGAGGATTGGAAATACGAAGAGAGAACTAAAGAGAGCAGGGAAGAGAAAGGAAATGGATCCTTTATCAGACGGCATGGCAGCGCCATTTTGGAAGGGTATCAACACTGGAGTCATAGGGAAGGATTTTCTTTCAATTGGGATCCGCCATGTTACAGGACGCCTTTCGTGCTCGAATGGCCTCATTGAGGTCTTGGGCAGCCAAGAAAATGGGCCAACGCTGCAGTGAGTGAGTTGAGTATGGGTCAACATCGCATGGTATACTGCTGGCGGTGGCCAATCAGAAGGCCATGTTGCGCGTGGAATTGAGCAGATTTTGTGCTGCTAAGCGATTTAGCGGCTGGCCATCCGCCTTCTTCTTACTCATCGCGTCTTATCCAGATTAAAAGGTCGACAGAAGGATTTTCTAGGTTTGTGGTTTGTTTTGGTAAACAAGAAAATTGAGCCAACGAAGAGAAATCCTATGTGGAAAAACCAACCAAACACGCCCCAACACCGCGAAAGTGCACCATTTGGGTATAAATAGACATCATGCTTTTGGATAGACACAGAAAGATTCACATGGAAGACATCACGATCACCTACACATGGCTACCGTAACTGGTTGGACCCTTTGATGACTCCCTCCAAGATCTCTCGAATCTGATTACAGCCATCAATCCCAACGGCAAGCATCGTCTCGACATACGTGCAATGTACTTTCGAGTCCATGTTCAACATGGACACTTTCATGTCTTCCTCGTCGTCGTCCATCGCATTCTCACCCACCGGCGCAGAGGTTGTAGTGCCCACTGTGAGAAACGGGAGCTCTTGCTCCTCCGGCAAAGACAGATCCAGAAGCGGGTCCAGTTCGTCGTTGCGAGGATCACGAGGGGTAGAGGCACTTCCACTCATCCCGGCTGTGCAGCCACAGAGTAAGCCTGGCATGGGGATACCTGCATCTACAAGGGCTAGGGTGCAGGCGTTGATAGCAGCGGCAAGCAGAGAGCCATCGGCGGATAGTACTGAAACATGGATGCTGATAGTACTGTGCGGATAAAGGTAGGTGTGAAGATGAGACTGGAAAGCAGCCCGTAGAGTAGTTGCGATGCGCGAAGATTGCCTGGTAAAGACAGGTTAGCAGACTTTATGAGTAAGAGTATCAATCGCGTTGGTCGGCATACTTGTCGCTTCCTCCCGCTCTCCTCTTGCGATCAACTCCCGCGAATCCCGCGACGTTCACATCGACTTCTACCACTGCTCCCGAAGAACCTGCTGCACCACCGGTTGCATCTCCACGGCGCCCTTCCGCAGGACCGTGAACGGAGCACATAATAGTTGTATTTCCCATGGCCAGATAAGACGACCCAGAACTGGCCGGGTTGGTGGAGATCTGCGCTTGGAGAAGACGAAGCTCGTTCCAGCGGCGGCCATCGAGGCGCAGTTTGGTAAGAGGGTACGTGGTCGATGTATCGAGAGGCATATTGAGGGGTGAACTGTCTAATTCTTCGTCGGTTCAAGACTTTCTAACAACCGTATATGTCTGGAAATCGGTACTAATCTTAGCAACTTGTTCTTCGGAGCGCGGGCGAAAAAGCGGCCGTGTAGTCACAAGATGGTTAAGGAATTGGATTAGAAAATTTATACCCGAGAAGCTCAAAAGAAACGTCCTCGTTTTGTCCGGGGTAGAATGCACAATGGTGGATTTTGAAGTAAACGAGACGATAACGGCGGCGGGGAATTGGACTAAATCGGCGACAAAATCAATTTGAAAGAATTGAGCTCCTTTCCCGATCGGGTAATATAGATCCTCCGCCTTCGTTGCCGCCCGCACGCGTCTGACATTCACCTTCTACAACACCGAGTGGACCAGCGGACTGAGCTTGCCGAGAAGAACATGGGATCTGGCTGGGAGTTGGAAAATTCAGACGCGACAACTGCCAGCTCCGATGATGACGATCTGGACGTCTCAAGGCCGGCGAGGCCATCCAAGCCTGCCCTCAGTCGTACGTTTCTCCGCATCTACTACGATGCTAAAGCTAAGGTGAAGCTGATATCCTCCAATTTCCAGGTACAACAGCCAATTCAGAAGTGACGCCCCGCCCTACACCTAGATCTGAACCCCCAGTCGAAGAACAGTCTTCGCCTCTCAACAACCCTATTACCATAGTAGACTCGGAAGCACAAACCGACAGCGATGATACGACTTTCAACGATGGCGAGGCTGCCTATCAGGCATTCAAAAACCGAAAGTCCCTCAAGCGAAAGCGTACCTCCATGAGTGCTCGCAAGACCAAAACGCCCAAAATGGCCACCCCCGAGTCGTTTGTAGGAAGGCGTCCAAGACAGGGTGGAAGACCCACGCCAAGGCGGCCCTGGAGAGAGTATGGAGATGAACTGCCTTCCGAAGATGAGTTGATGGAGTATACGCTCCCGGACTACTTGCAGAAGCGACGACAGCAGTTTGACCGTAGGGCCGAACACCTCAAGGAGTCAGGGCTGAAGTTACCCCCGGGCTACGAAGATATTGAGTTCTCCGATGATGAGCGCTTGGAATTTCTACAAGAGAAACCGGCCTTTACGAATATAAAACCGTGCAATGCGTACAAAGACATCACGCTCCCTTACTCTCTAGGGTTAGTCCCTGCTCCCATCGCGCAGTGGCTAAGACAGTACCAGGTGGATGGAGCCGCTTTCTTACACGAACTCTTTGTCTATCAGAAAGGTGGCATCCTTGGTGACGATATGGGCCTGGGGAAAACAGTGCAAGTGATTGCATTCCTTACCGCGGCGTATGGCAAGACTGGCGATGAGAGAGACGCCAAGAGGATGAGGAAGATGAGGCGAAGTGGGAAAGACCAATGGTACCCACGAACATTGATAGTATGCCCAGGTACCTTGATCAAGAACTGGATGTCGGAACTCACACGCTGGGGCTGGTGGCATGTCGATACCTACCATGGGGATAACAAGGAGCTTGCTCTTCAAGCAGCGAGGTCCGGACGAGTTGAGATTCTCATCACCACTTACGGTACCTACCTTCAAAATAAGGATGCTGTGAACATGGTGGACTGGGATTGCGTGGTAGCGGACGAATGCCACATCATCAAGGAGCGAACTTCCGAGACTACCAAGGCCATGAACTCAGTCAACGCACTCTGCCGAATTGGACTAACTGGTACAGCCATCCAAAACAAATACGAAGAACTCTGGACGCTACTAAACTGGACGAACCCCGGGAAATTGGGCCCAGTTACGACCTGGAAAAAGACTATCTCCGACCCTTTGAAGATAGGGCAGTCGCATGATGCTACACTATACCAACTGAGTAAAGCTCGGAGGACTGCCAAGAAGTTGGTCGAGAATCTCCTTCCTCAGTTCTTTCTCCGACGAATGAAAAGTCTGATAGCGGATCAGCTTCCTAAGAAGATCGACCGAGTTGTATTTTGCCCGTTAACAGAAACGCAGGCAGACGCCTACGAGAACCTGTTGGACAGTGACATCATCCGGTACATCAAGGAATCTTCTGAGATGTGTTCTTGCGGTTCAAGAAAGAAGGCCGGCTGGTGCTGTCAGCAGTATCTACGATCAGGACTCCGATGGCAAAGCTACGTGTTTCCCGCAATGAATGTTATACAAAAACTCAGCAATCATCTTGCGATTCTGATACCGCAAGGAGTGGATTCCAAGGAAAAGCAGGACAAGGATAGGGACTGGCTAGAAATTGCTTCTCCTGATAAGTGGGAACAGCTCTATCGAACAAGAGACTCCATCGTCAACTACGCCAACCCTGAGTTCTGCGGTAAATGGAAGGTTCTCCGTCGACTCCTCAAGTGGTGGCATTCCAACGGAGACAAGGTATTAGTCTTCTCTCACAGCGTCCGACTGCTGAGGATGTTGCAAATGCTGTTTCACCACACAAGTTACAATGTCAGTTACCTGGACGGTTCGATGAGTTATGACGAGCGTGCAACAGCCGTTGACGAGTTCAACTCCGACCCCCGGCAATTCGTCTTCTTGATCTCCACCCGTGCCGGTGGTGTGGGTTTAAACATCACATCCGCAAACAAAGTGGTCGTCGTCGACCCCAATTGGAACCCATCATACGACCTCCAAGCGCAGGACAGAGCATACCGAATCGGCCAGGTCCGCGATGTAGAGGTATTCCGACTAATCTCCGCTGGCACCATCGAAGAGATCGTCTACGCGCGTCAGATTTACAAGCAGCAACAAGCAAATATTGGCTACAACGCAAGTTCCGAACGGCGCTATTTCAAGGGTGTCCAAGAAAAGAAAGACCAGAAAGGTGAAATCTTCGGACTAAGCAATCTCTTTGAGTACCAGAACAACAACATCGTCCTCCGCGAAATCGTCAACAAAACCAACGTCGCCGAAAGCCGAGCCGGCGTCCAGGTCATGGACATTGATGTGGACGAATCCCAACCCCACGAAGACTCCAAAGCCACTGATGACGAGGTCATGAGCCAACTCGCCGCCATGATCCGCGGCGAGTCCGACGACGTCAAAGGCACCCAACAATCCCCCATCCCCAAGCGCCACGATCCTATCCAGGCCATCCTCGCCGGTGCCGGTGTGGAATATACCCACCTCAACAACGAGGTCATCGGCTCCTCGAAGATCGAAGAACGTCTCAGCAGACGCGCAGAACTAGCCAGCGAGGGCTCCAGTAACGATGTCCAGGTCTTTGGAGATTCTCAAGACGGATCAAATGCAGCGCCTACCCCTCATCTTCTGAAAGATGGTCGCCCCATCCGCTTCAAGTATCATCCTCCTCACGATGTGATGAAGAGACAGTTCTGTAGCATGGCCAAGCGGTTCGGGTTTCCTAACGCTACGGAGTTTGCTCTTGTCGTGGAGAGCATGACGCAGGCGCAGAGGCGGGCGTGTCTGGAGCGTTGGTATAGGGAACGGAGACAGGTTTTGTTGGGCAAGGAATGACGCTCTTTATGTAGGTTTTCTTGGTTTTTCTTTTGGCGTTGTTGTTGGTTTGTATATTTCTGAGATACCCTTGAGCATTTCTTGTTGATATCGTATATTGGATTGGGATTTTGGCTTTACATTTGGATGGGATCGGCGGTACTACCCCCATAGATTACGAAAAATCCAAATCAACCATCACTATCATTGCCTAAGAGGATAGGCTCAGGAGGCATGGATCGAACTTGGGCATACAAGAACAGTAATTGATAATCATTCACGTAGAAAAGGCGATTACATTGTCATCATAACAGCATATCATTATCATCCAGGTCTAGAATTTCATCCATTAAATTTTACATTTATACAATCACCAATATAGACAAGTGATGAACTCATTATCGCTAGAATAGAGACTATTGATATCAGCGCAAGAACTTCTCTACTGCACCACCAATGTTCTTCAAGTCAAGCAGGAACGTATCGTGTCCGAACATCGACACGTCCTCGCCCAGTTCGATGTGCTGGACCTTCTCATTTCCACCAGCCCGAAGCGTCTCTGCGATTTCACGCTGCTGCCAAGCCGGGAAGAGAATATCGCTGGCGACACCCATGACCAGAACGGGATGGTTCTTCAGAGGCGCCAGCCCAGCGACGAGATCTTGTGGCGGCGCATCCGCACCTCCAGCAACGGCCTGGTCCATCGCGGGCGTAGACGCGGTCACCGACGGTTGTTCTTCGTACGGCTTCTCGGGGAGCGTGAGGCTGCAGGCGATGTTACTGGCGTCGACAGTCTTGCCTCCCTCCGCGATATTCGCTTCGTACTCGGCCCGTCTTTTCTTCGTCTCCGTTTGGTGTGCCTGTCCCAGATCAAACAAGTCCATGGCCTTCGAGACATAGAGCAGACTGTTGGGGTCGTACTCCAAACAGAACTTCTCGCCCGCGTGGTCGAGGTACGTCTCGATGAGGAAATCGGGACACAGCGCAGGCTGCTTGCTGGGGTCTGCGCGCTTGCGGCCAAACCGCTTCTCCCATTCCGGCCCGCTTCGGTAGGTGACTGTCGCGATTTCTCGCGCGAGCTTCATGCCTGAATGGGGCGGGATGGAGTCGTAGTAGAACCCGCGGGCCCACTTCGGGTCCATCATGAGGACCTGACGCTGTGTGTGTCGCATGGCGATGCTATATGGGTGGCTTCGGGCGCAGCCGCTGATGCTGACGATCTTGTCGACCCGCTCGGGGAAGAGCACTCCGGCGGCGAGACTCTGCATGCCGCCCATGCTGGAGCCGACGGAGGCGTACAACTTCTGGATGCCCAGCGAGTCCAAGAGACGGAATTGTGCGCGGACCATGTCGTCTATCGTCAAGATGGGGAATCGGGTGGCGTATCTCTTTCCATCGGATGGGTCGATGGACGACGGCCCGGTGCTGCCGTAGCAGCCTCCGATGACATTTGTACAGATGACGAAGTGCTTGTTTGTGTCTAATGGCTTGCCGGGGCCGATAAATTTCTCCCACCATCCGGGCTTGGAATTGGCGTCGGTGCTA